GACAAATATCATTTAAGTTTAGGAGAATTTGATAAACCAAAAAATGTGAAATTTTTTGTATATATTTTATGCTTAAATTTGGTGATATTGCACTTTAAAGAAAGATATTTTCATGTTTTGTTGTAGGTATATTGATTTTAGTCATTTAGGTATATTGTTGTAGGTATATTGATTTTAGTCATTTGAAGAAAAAAGGAGCAAAAAAGAAGAAATTTGGAGTCAAAATGTAGTTTTTCAACATATTAGCACCAAATGCGCCATTTTACAGAGAAACGACGCCAGAATGGCACCAGAAGCACCAAAATCCAAAGAGGAGCGGTGAACTCAAGTAAACAGGTGCCAAAGACAAATCTAAACAAATTGATGACTGTTATTGACTATTTTTTAGATGTTCTAGAAGGCTTCAAGTAGTTCAAACGCCCCACAGAGTAGTTCAATGCTTCTAGACACATGAAGAAGGCTCTTGAATGAAGAGATATGCCACTTGGATGAGAGGATTTGTCTTTTGGTGTGAAGAGGCGTGTTATTTAGAAAAAAGGAGGGAATTTTTTAATTACTTTAGAGAAGAGGGGCTGGTGCCACTCTTAAGAAGTCTAGAAGGTCTTGGAGTGTGGGGCGTGTGAAGTCTTTGGAGGAGAGTAGAGAGTTAGGTTTTGAAGAGCATTTTCTTCTAGAGATTGTAAGAGGAGATGGAAGGTGAGACATTTCTTCGTCATTATATTTCTAAGAAAGAATTGAGTGTGATTGTAAAGAGAGAAAATGTTTCAAGGGAACTTCAAGGGATTTGCTTAAGGAGGAGTGTGAGATAAGTTGTGTTCTTTCCTTTCTTTGTTTTGTGAACTTGTTTTTATATAGAACTTGTTTTTATATTGAACTTGTTTTTATATATAAAATCCATGTTTTGTCATATCCTCCTCATAAATTCTGAGTAATCTTCTTTGTCATTCTCCCTATAATGAGATATGGTTTTGTGAAGAATTAATATTGTTGTGCAAGGTTTTAAATATCAATAAATTATGATGATTCAAACTCTAATCTTCATTTACTTTTCGATCTGGCCAATTGAAATGTTAAAATTTTTTTAGAAACATAAGATCTGATAGGGCTATGCTTTCTACAATAAAGTGAGAGTCACATTCAATTTCATGGATGAGAATGTAGTCCATGGGATTGAGTGCAAATAAATAGGAAAATATATTTTGATAGGTGTAGAATTGGAGATTTTTGGGTGACAGACTAAAATACCCAATTTAGTTTAATTTCTTAGAAACTGAAGTGAGATTGTTAGCCCTCAAGTGAGGGGAAAGTGGGAGCTCTGGAGTGGGAGTCAGTATCCTCTCAGCCTAACCACAGATTTAGGGACCAAACTCTAAATTTTTCAATGTTCTTTATGCACTCAATAAATAGTAAAAAATAGGATTGCTCATTATTGTCACAATACAATTTTATATAATTTTAAATGATTTTAATTACTTCACTAACCATAAACTCATTATAAAGCAAAGGGGTGTTTTCTTAAATTTAAATTCTTTTTTACAAAACTTTGTTTAGTCTTAGTAAGTTTAACTTTGAAGTTTAGAATTTAAGCTTAGTTAACTTAGTACTTTTAGGTACATTTCATTTAGCATGCATTAAATTTACTTTATATGTGTTTTCTTGCTTAAGTTTTTATAGTTTGAATATTGTATTTTACATTATAACCATAAGAATTTCCGCCTCCATGTGGGATCGATGCTTAGGACTCAATTAGAGTCCTTTATTACTTGAGTGATACGTATACTTGTGTAATTACTAGGATTGACAGCTTAAAGATTTTAAAATATAAAACTATTTATACTGAAATGATTTTTATTGTGATTGATATGCATATTTACTACTTGTGTTGTAGTTTGTGTGTTGTTGTATTGAAAGATATTTACAGCTCATACACAAAATCCGCATCAGAAGTTATCGTCGGGACTTTGATACAATGTGTTTTGGGTAAATCTTTGTGCATTATTTAGAACAATGTGTTACTTCGTATGTAGTAAAATTCATCACCTAATAGAGTACATTGTTACTCTATAATAGGTGTTGTTACTCTGCAATATACATCAATACTCTGTAGGGTACTTCTTTTCTCTGCAATGTGTGTGATTATTCAACAAGATATTTCGTTACTTCACAATATGTGTTGTTACCCCGCAAGACAATGTACTTCATTACTATGTAAAATCCACCAATGACGGCAAGCAAGGGGAGGCTGAAATTTGTTGACAACGACTGACGATGTATAATTGACGGCGACCAACAAGCGACGGTCGGTAGGTATAGAGCGGTGTTATCATCATGACTTCAGCCTAAAACAACACTAGAAATAGGCTCCTTCTTCTCCTTCCTCCCCCCCC